TAGAGAGAGAATTGAGCCGCCTGCAAAAAGGAGGCAACGCAACTACTCTTTTCTTATTTTGGTTCTAATGATAGTCAATTCTCTGTCCTTTTAGTTCACTGTTTCTCTCTCGCATTAAGACCAATAACAAAAAATAAGCTCATCAACAAAACCAGACAAGTGTTCGACCTTGCGCAATCGGAGTGATGGTTAGAACTTAAATGTAGAAAGGGGGAGATAGAAGTCATAAAACCCTGATGGCCAAAAACAGACGTTCCTTTTGCTGTCCTGATTACTGTGAACCATGATTTCGGGTGGTGGTTCACAACAATTTGGTGGTTAGCATTGCTTCTTCCAGAAAGTGTTCCTCAAGTCTTGCCATATAATTGTTCTACCATCAAAGGTAAAATAGGCGCTACTCATGGATAGATTAAGTAGTTTATATATGTACGGTATGCTCAAGCTTATTCCTTGTGCGATCTCTGGATGATTCTCCATAGTTTGTTCTAGAGCTTCCAAAAGTGTATAAGTAAGTAATTCTCCTTAAATTCATTGCAAGCAATAAGAGTAGTGCTATGCATAAAATCTCACGATTTATATGCAGACAATTGAGAAAAGCCATCAATTTTGGGCTATTTTCTATTATAAACTTGTGTGAGTTTGTCAAATTAGTGAACCAGCAGAGAATTTCGGTGGGAGATATACTAGTAAGTTTTGATGGACTATCAAGGAGCCCAAATATTCCTGTTCATGACCATTTAGGCTATAATGTTCACCGTAAGGAGCATTCTGAGAGTATGAAGGGAATCAAGTTGAGCATAGCCTTCAACTAAAATTTCTTAACCGTGGTCGCAGAGGGGGGGCAATTCATGTTTTTTCGGGTTTCTAGTTTGGGTATATTAAGTTAGCTAATACACTTATTATTAGTGAAGCAGTAATAGTCTATAGTAGATTCTAAAAGCGTATTCATCATAATTGCCTTCTGAAAGTTCAATTAGTATTTATAAACACGAAGAGTAACTGGGTTTCGATGAATTTCCCGAGATAATATTTTTGGGGAGGCCTTCATTTCGCATGAAAATGCATGAAGAGAATTGTAGGTTGATCTCATCAAAAGACGGCGGCTAAAACCCGTTGTACTGCAGCCATTTGGCTTTAATACGACGTTCAGGTCCACGCAGTCGACGAGACCCATTCGACAGACTAAAGGAACACAAAAATGTTGTAAAGGGAGCTGGGTCCAAAGGTCAGAAGTGGCCGAACACATGGCATAGACTGGACATGAGATAGAATGGTCTCAAACTAGTAGGTTTGCTGATTATAGTACGTCTGCTGTTAAAATAAAGATAAGAGAGGCTAGTGAAAGTAAAATATTAGAGAATGCTGATAGAAAGTTGAGTAGGAACTATTTGTGCTTGATTAATAGTATTGAAAGAGAGAGGGTGTTGAGCCGCCATCCAAAAGAAGGCGACTAAACTTGTCCGCTCAGTGATGGCTCTAACTTCCCTTACATTAACATAACATGTTAGATTTAGCTAATTAACCAAACCAGATCCATAAGATTACATAGCCCTAGTCGTGCCTTTCCTTGGGTGGTTAAACTTGTATGACCCTAGACCAAGAGGTTAGGACAAGTGGTTTCGTAACTTAGCTTACATGCTTACAAGCTTATATCCCATTAGCTCAGCCATACTTGCTCAGGGCCTTTTTCTGAGTCATTAAGCCTTGATGGCCAGAGCCTGAAATTAGTCTTTTATGATTACTCTGATTTAGGATCGGTATTGAGTTAGACGTCAGCACACACACGCACAAAAGCACTCTAACAAAAGTAGTAGGACCAGTATAAAAGATAATTAGCCAAAACATCTTATATCTATCTATGCCTATTTATTTTCGTTTTTAGTTATGAATATATATGAGGTAAGGTAGAGCCGGATAGTTTTATTGATCTAGTGTTAACGTGAGACTTTTACAGAAATGAGTTCCAGCTCTGATGATGCCCATCATATGATGGACGAAAACTCAGCCCGTTTTCACCCGAAGCGACAGGGAATGTTTTATGGACTGCATCAATATAAGCGTCGTCTTAAAACCAAACGGCTGTAATACAACGAGATTCTGACGCCTTCTTCTGGTGAGATCCACCTACGAATAGCTTTTTCATGCACTTTCCTACGAAACGAAGGTCTCCCAACAATAGTTAATATTTGAAAGATTACAAATTCTGGGTGGATAAGCGATAACTATGCGTTCGGAAGGGGTAAAGATCGTGATTTATTAAATTATATGAGTTATGGGGAACATTTACCTGTGTTAAGAAGATCCGATAGTTCATTAAGAGTCTTGAAAGCTTGTGCTGACTGTACAATGTCCTGCTTAGTCTGTCGGGTCATGTTATAGGGGACTGTAACAAAAAAGAAAGGGTGGTGACATAGCCAGTAATTTTTGGAAAATTTGTTTCAATAATTGACAGGATGGCTGAGTATGCATTGTCTCGAACTCTAAACTTGACTGACTCGTAAGCGTTTGGGAAATATGCAAGTTAAAGTAAAAGTTTGCAACACTATGACAAAGCTGCAGATTCATATACATCATCCGGCATTTGGGAGGATATATAAAAATACCGAAAATGTATTGAGAACCATTTATTAGATAATTACCAAGGTTACGGAGGGGAAATATACAATGAAAATAGTATTTATAATTCAGATTGTCACTTCGGAATCGCAGTACATATGGACTCGGAAATTCGGGGAAACCTTCTTTCCATTTGGCGTATAAAGAAGCATTCGAAGGCAGACATCACAGAGGTGACAAGGTTCAAAAGGCAAAAGATCGCCAGCAGAATATACTAACCAGCGAGTAGCCAGCCGACGGCATACAGCACAAAGTAAAAGACGAGCAGAGGAGCGCCCGGTGGTAAGAGGAAAGGCAGAACGATGTTGGCAGGCATCCCGGTCGAGCCATCTCAAGAAAATAAAGATTGCACAAATAAGCCAAGAATGTGCTGATTAATCTTTAGATAATTTTAAAATAATACTTGGTAGATAACAAAATTACGATTATTTCTTACAACATTAAACAGCAAATAATCTTTTTATTTTCAACAGCATCGACCAAATCCAAACTTGGTAACCAAGTTAGTGTGAAATGGAGGCCAGTACTTAAATCATGACTTTAAAAAAACAAGCTTAAATTCACAACGATGTCCAAAATAGAGTAATTCAAAAAGGATATTCTCGTTCAAGCGCTTTAGGTAAAAGATTTACTTTTTAGCCTTGGCTCCATCAATAACAGAAGGTAACTAAATATACTACAATCTACTGTCATGAAATAGTCGTCTAAGCTATGAACCAATCAATGAAGTAATAACAATCGTGGAAAATAAACTTTACGAGATAATGAAAAATAAATTGCTGATTTATGGAAATTACCTGACGTCA